CTAACGTCAACGTTTGTTAGCCGCTGTTAGCTTGAGCTGCTTTCAGCTCATTTTAGCATGTCAGGTATGATTTAAGACATTAAAACTGGGTAAATATCGCTATTAAGTAACATAAGTATAATCTTGGTTTATGTTTTGATGATTTCGTAAGACAGATTGTTTTGTTGCTTGGTGGAGGTTTTTAAAATAGCATTAGCTAATATTACAAGAAGCTAACCTTAATAATCACGTTATTTGTTAGTTTTAAACTTAAAATAAGATGATTTCCGTTCATTTCCCCCATAAATGTAGTCATGATGAGGTTTATCCTTTAATAATTGAGTAAAAACGTCAAATAAGATGTTGAATATGCTAGGTGGAAATGAACAAAGTTAGTCAAGTGTTTTTGGTTTGACACTTGTACCATTGTATCTTGATTTCCTTTTCTCTAATATGCGTCATTTCTTATATTTTTACAGCTTGTTGTTCTTGTTTTGATAAGATCAAACGAGGAGGAGTCACATCTTTTTGCTCACAACTTTACATAAATGCCCTAATGTCCTTGTCAAATCTAATGCATTTATTTCCATTTATTTTATCTTTTCCAGGAGTGCATCCACAGGAAAGACCATGCCAAGCTTGGGTTCCCTGTGCGGTCCGGTTTGCAGATAACCAGTGACTGTAACATGAGGACCGGTGGAGAATGACATCCCATTGTTACAGAGAGCCATTGAAAATGAAGAGGGTGAACGGATACGTGATCATTTATTTAGCATCCGTGATTAGTTTCTGTGCAGCAGGGGCTTTGAACATCACAGCGGTGGATGGAGAGGGAGGAGAGAACAGGACGGAGGCCAACGGTGCAGGTTCGATCCCTGTGGTGGTCACCAAGACCAGCCAGATCATCGCCCGTGAGGGAAACTGCGCTTTAATTGACTGTAATGTCACCGGTGACCCTTTCCCTAATGTCCAGTGGTTCAACTCACACGGACACCTGCTCGACACAAAGAAAAGTGGTACGTTTACAGTGAAAAACTCTATCTATCTATCTATCTATCTATCTATCTATCTATCTATCTATCTATCTATCTATCTATCTATCTATCTAGCTATCTAGCTATCTATCGATCTATCCACATGACTATCCATCCATTCATCCATCCACATGAATATCTATCTATCTATCTATCTATCTATCTATCTATCTATCTATCTATCTATCTATCTATCTATCTATCTATCTGTGTCTGTCTGTCTGTCTGTCTGTCTGTCTGTCTATCTATCTATATGACTATCCATCCATTCATCCATCCACATGTCTATCTATCTATCTATCTATCTATCTATCTATCTATCTATCTATCTATCTATCTATCTATCTATCTATCTATCTATCTATCTATCTATCTATCTATCTAGCTATCTATCTAGCTATCTAGCTATCTATCCACATGACTATCCATCCATTCATCCATCCACATGGATATCTATCTATCTATCTATCTATCTATCTATCTATCTATCTATCTATCTATCTATCTATCTATCTATCTATCTATCTATCTATCTATCTATCTATCTATCTATCTATCTATCTATCTATCTATCCATCCATCCATCCATCCATCCACATGACTATCCATCCATCCATCCACATGACTATCTATATATCTATCTATCTGTCTGTCTGTCTGTCTGTCGTTCGACCTACCTATATACCCATCCATCCATCCATCCATCCATCCATCCATCCATCCATCCATCCATCCATCCATCCATCCATCTATCGTGTGCATCTATCTGTCTATCTGATTTACTGTTCCCGTATCTCTGTGCACTTCATGTAATGGAGTTAACTTCCATTATAATCAAATATGGCAGATAGTGTTGAGGTATTGATTTTCCCCAGCTAAGTGTAAAGATGTTTTATTGAGACCAAATAGACACAACAAACCCAATAATCTCATTATTGTAAGCTTTAGGAGTACGCTATAAGAATTTTTTTTTACAGAAGTATCAAGACTGTGTTTGTTTGATCAAAACTACAGTAAAAACAGTGAAATAATATTACAAATTTAAATGATTGAATATTTTTTAAATCTGTAATTTTATCTATGTAATGCAAATCTAAATTTCAGGATACTGTAACCTTCAAAAGAACACAACTTTTGTGACATAATCACTTGTTTGATTCCATTAATGCATCTTTGCTGGATAATAGTGTACATTTCTTAAAAATGATTTCATAACCCAGCTTTTTGAACAGTATTGTACACTACCTAACTAAAGTTTTGTCGACTGTGTAAGTTTTAAGAACAACTACTAATAACTTGACTTCTAGTTGAACATTTGGTATCAGAAAGGGCTTATATAAAAGGCAAAGGCCTCTAGTCTAGATTACGCTTAATTTTACCACAGTAAAAATGTGATCATGCCTTGACTTGTAATTATTTAATCAGGACAGTAAAGTCTGTCACTTAACAGAAATAATGTCCAGTATAGGAAATAAAGTCATGCTGCAGTGGAAACAGAATGAATATTGTGTCTGACTCCATCATGAGCTTGGAGGACATGCATCAATACATCTCTGCAATGACTCTAATCACTGATTAATAAAGTCATCTGGAATGGCAAAGAAAGCGTTCCAGCAGGACTCCCAGAGTTCATCAAGATTATTTGGATTCATCTTCACTGCCTCCTCCTTCATCTTACCCAGACATGCTCAATAATGTTCATTTCTGGTGACTGGGCTGGCCAATCCTGGAGCAGCTTGACCTTCTTTGCTTTCAGGAGCTTTGATGTGGAGGCTGAAGTATGACAAGGAGCACTATCCTGCTGTAGAATTTGCCCTCTCCTGTGGTTTGTAATGTAATGGGCAGCACAAATGTCCCCATACTGAATGTAGCCCCAAACCATGATTTTTCCTTTACCAAACTTGACTGATTTGTGTGAGAATCTTGGCTCCATGTGGGCTCCAGTAGGTCTCCTGCAGTATCTGTGATTGGGATGCAGTTTAACAGATGATTCATCAGAAAAATCCACCTTCTGCCACTTTTCCAAATGACAAACTAGAAGTCGAGTTATTATTTGTTGCTCTTACAATTGGAATTCATGACAAGACTTTTGTCTGGTCCTGTACATATTACAAACTGATAAATGCTACAGCATCATAAGGAAGTATATATAAATGAGATTTTTCTTGGAAACACTTTCCATCTGTTTTGGTGTCAAATTGTATTCAAACTTATTTTTGGTTGATTAAATTTCAAAAGGGCGAGGCAGTGGCGCAGTAGGTAGTGCTGTCGGCTCACAGCAAGAAAGTCGCTGGTTCGAACCTCGGCTCAGTTGGAGTTTCTGTGTGGAGTTTGCATGTTCTCCCTGCCTTCGTGTGGGTTTCCTCCGGGTGCTCTGGTTTCCCCCACAGTCCAAAGACATGCGGTACAGGTGAATTGGGTAGGCTAAATTGTCTGTAGTGTATGAGTATGTGTGTGTGTGGATGTTTCCCAGCGATGGGTTGCAGCTGGAAGGGCATCCGCTGTGTAAAAACTTGCTGGATAAGTTCGTGGTTCATTCCCCGGATTAATAAAGGGACTAAGCCGACAAGAAAATGAATGAATAAATTTCAAAAGTTAAAACTCTTAATGATGGGTTTCCTTTGGAGTTATTTTTTATTTATTTATTTAAAATTAGAATAAATACACATTTAAAAAATATTTTGTTAATTTTGGGAATGATCACAGTAGTGTTAGCACAGTGTTAGTAGTTTTCGCCATTATTTATTGCATTCACTCTCTTGTGAGATGTTGAGATTTATCTGTTATGCAACGTTTTGATCTTTAAATCTGCTGATATAAAACGTGACTCTCTAATTCCCAGCTGATGAGTGACATTTGGAGGATTACTGATGACGGGCTTGGTGAAAGAGAAAACTGACAGCGTCTTTTTTTTTTTTTATGTGTCATGGGAACATCGCTGCTATTCATGTTTGTGTGTGTTGTTAATTGTCTGGGTGTGTCATTGTGTGAAGAACTAGTGTGCCTAAACCATTTGACATGTTTTAACTTGCAAAGCATATGTGAATAGATTGACATGCATGCTTGAGTTTATACTTTCAGTTCATTATTATTCGACGAATGTTTTTGGGCGTAGCTTCAGCTTTAAAGGAACACTCCACCTATTTTTAAAAATATGCTCATTTTGCAGCTCTCCTAGAGTTAAATAGTTTAGTTTTAACATTTTTAAATCAAGTGATCTTCGGGTCTGGTCGGAGCATTTTTAGCTTAGCTTAGTATAGATCATTGAATCGGATAAGACCGTTAGCATTTTGCAAAAAAATTACAAAGTTTAGATAATTTTCCTGTTCAAGATTGACTCTTCTGTAATTACATTGTGTACTAAGACCAACAAAAAAGTAACTACAGAAGAGTCAAGCAATAAACAGGACATTTATTGAATTACAAGATGCTAATGGTCTAATCCGATTCCATTATCTATGCTAAGCTAAGCTAAAAGTTCTCCCACCAGACTCGAAGATCACCTGAAAAGATTAAAAAAATGTTAAAACTAATCTGTGACACTAGGAATGCAGTAAAATTAGCATATTTTCAAATAAAAATGGAGTGTCCCTTTATAGCTAATGCTATGGACAAAACATTTAAGACATTTCTCTCCTATCTACAATCTCTCCTAGAGTTAAATATTTTTTAATTAATTAATTTTGTTTAATTTTTTACATTTTTTAATCTATTCAGCCAATCTTCGCTCTGCCAGGAGCACTTTTAGCTTAGCTTAGCATAGATAATTGAATTGGATTAGACCATTAGCATCTCGTAATTCAGTAATTCAGTCAACGCTGGACTGAAGGCGTGTCTGAAGTGGGGGCTGAAGCGATAGTCATAGAAGCGTCAGCCAATGAAATTCAGTTAGCGATAGGCCACTGTCTAGCTGGTGTATTTGCAAACAGCGATGTGATTGTCTGACGCTTCTGTCGGCGCTTGAAAGTTGAGCTAGTCCCAACTTCTGCAGCGAGCAACGCCTCTGAAGCGGCGCTGACGGATCCACAATGCAGTTCGGCAATGCCTGACGTCACCCATTTAAAGTGAGTGGGAAGCTTTGTCACTGACGCCCCGTGTGAATGTGGCGCTACAGTTTTGTTGGTCTTAGTAGACGATGTAATTATTGAAGAGTCAATCTTTAAACAGGAAAATGATCTAAACTTTAGGTCATTTTTATATGAAATGCTAATGGTCTAAACCGATTCAATGATCTATGCTAAGCTAAATGTGCTTTGAGATCTAGACAAAATGAGCCTGTTTAAAAAAAATAGTTGCCTTAAAGTCATTATTTGCAAGTCATTTGACTACACTGAAGCTGAGTATTTAAAAAATGTGGAGTGGAATTCGGTTTGTCATCAGGAATGGTTTGGATTGTTTGTTGTCAGTTGTGAAAGACTAACTAGCTAGCTAACTAGCTCTGCAACACTACTGGCAGTGTTGAAACCTAAGAGACCTTGATTTAAATCAGCTGAAAAGGAAAACTTGAGTCGATTCATCAGTGCGTGATATTCTCGATAAGGCCTGGATTTGGCATTATGATTGTAAATGGAAAGTAGTTTTCATGTTATTGACTTTTAGCTGCTGACTATTGGTGAAAGTATGAGGAATTCACTTGCATAATGTTTTGTAAAGGTCTGACTGAACGATTTCAGGCTGCTGCCAGTAAGCAAATACTGAGGAAAAGGTTGAGTCTAGTGCTAAAAATAGACATATTGATTTGAACTAGTTTTTAAATTTGCTCAGCATTTTGAACCAGGTTTAATGTCCAGCTTTCTACTTCTCAAATGAAAATGAAGCTAACCCTGGATCAGTTCATAAATTGTAACCTAATTTCCAAATATAATTTTTATGTAAATATATTTGGTCTGAAGACATGTATTTATGAAAAGATTGTAAAAAAAAGAAAGTAAATGCTAAGTAATGCTCTCTTTTTTGATTAAGAACCTGGGCCCGGTTTTTCAAAAGTAATCCACTAAGATTTTGGATAAGGGATTAGATCAAATCTTGAAAATGGGGTTTTCAAAAGAAAAAACGGATTACATAATCGGATTAGATCACGTAATCCAATCTTGGTTTTGATCCAGATCAAACCTTTAGTTTGGGTTTTTCAGACTTTTTTTGTAGGATCTGGATCACTTTGATCCAAAAAACTTGGATTAAACTGATTCCATCAGAAGGGTGGATTTAGCGTGGATTTCATGCCCAAAATGTAATGAAAACTTAATTAAATAAAACTATATTTGGATCATGGATGTCTATATCTTACGAGATCTTACGGATGTCTATATGTCTATATCTTACGAGATATACTATTTATTCTATTTATTATATATATATATATATATATATATATATATATATATATATATATATATATTAAGTTTTTAATTTATTTGTTCATCTGTCAGGCTATAGTAATTATTGGCTTTAATGTATTCAGCCTTTCAGTATAGGCCTACAGCAAAATATAAAGAGTTTGGCCTCATAAAATAATCCCCCAAACAGCTGTCAAAATTTACCAAAAAAAAAAAAAAAAAATATATATATATATATATATATATATATATAGATAGATAGATAGATAGATAGATAGATAGATAGATAGATAGATATTCATCACAATGGAAAATATTTTTGTGTTTAGAATATTTATTAGTGATGCAATGATTACAGAATGGCAAATGCCAAAGAATGGCAATGCCTGATTTTTGAAATCACTTTCAACAATTGCAAAAAGAGACTGGGCAGAAGCAAAGTTTCATCTGGCAGAGGAACAACTGACTCTGACCAAACTGCAGCAAACCAAGACCACACTTGAGATCTGCCTCCTAAAGAATACGCTCAGACAAGCTGCTCTCTCCACATCAGATGAGGAAGTCTGACATTATTGTGGAGGTTTCAACATTGTCTTTTTTTTTATTCAATACATCTATATTTGAAACTTATTATAAATATCCTCAATGTTCAGTGTTGTAGATCTCAGATGAGCGGACTGCTGGAAGAGGATGGGGTGGGGGTTTTCTTGCTTTTATTATTTATTATTATAATTATTTTATTATTTATCAACTTTTCTTAGTTTTCATTTCAAATAAAAAATACATTTATATTTACCCCACACTGGCTATTCTTCTTGTTGCTCTTTACATAGGCCTATCTATCCATCTACATTGTGATTGAGCACTGGTAATCCAGATTTAGTGATCCTGAAAAGTTCCAATCTGGATCAGAATGATCCAATCCAATGTTGCTTTGAAAAACTGGCTCAAAAAGTAAGCTGGATTACGTGATCACGGATCGCAAAAACAGGATTACTAAATCCGTATCAATTTTATCTGGATTAAACCTTTTGAAAAAAGCGGGCCCTGGGGTGCGTTTCCGAAAGCCGTCGTTAGCCAACTAAGGTCGCAAGTTTCATCATTACAATCATAGTCTGTTAATTTGGCGTTTTCCAAATCTTTCAATGAACATTTGCAAACTGCATCACAAACTTGTATGCTTGCAACTACACCTCTAGAGCTGTAGTTAGAAGCAGAGTTCCTGGCTGTGTTCTATTTCCAGTTACCTGCCCTAAGCCCTTTTCCTTTTGAACGTTTTAAAACATTAAAGTCATCTCTCTTAGATGTAATTGGCATTCAAAGTATTTTTTTACAGTTCAGTATTAGCTATCTACATATTGACGATTGCATTCCTTTCGTAGTACACTTTGAAAACACTTATGCCATTTTGAACGCAGCCGTGGCTCATGACAAAAGCTATAGGTGATCTATTACTTAAAAGCGGAATTTATGTTACGTCTCCAAAGCTTGTGAAAACAAAAAATATATAGCATATGTTAAACAGCGGCAAGTTTGGTGAAATGATGACCTTCACGGCCAATCACAGTCATTTCTGTTGAGCATGTGAACACAATGGCCAATCAGCGATGTTTAAGAACGTGCTCAACAGCGCTTAAATGTTAGCGGGAAATGGACGTTTCCAAATCGAATTCCAGTATCGTGACAACACTAATTCTCACCCATAATAAACACAACAAACAAAACCTTCAGCCTGCAGAGTTTGTGACTTTGTGCTGCTTTTATTTTCTGCAGATGGTAAATGGTGGATTCTGGACAGCGGCGTCCTCAACATCACCAGCATCACGTTTGCAGACCGCGGGAAATACACGTGCGTGGCGTCCAACTCTCATGGCACGGCCAACTGCACGGTGACCCTCCGCGTGGTCTTCACCAACGGAGACATGGGCGTTTACTACATGGTGGTGTGTCTGGTGACGTTCACCATCATAATGATCCTCAACATCACGCGCCTCTGCATGATGAGCAGCCATCTCAAGAAAACCGAGAAGGCCATCAACGAATTCTTCCGCACGGAAGGTGCAGAAAAACTCCAAAAGGCCTTCGAGATCGCAAAGCGCATTCCCATCATCACCTCGGCGAAAACGCTGGAGCTAGCGAAAGTCACGCAGTTCAAAACCATGGAGTTTGCGCGCTACATCGAGGAGTTAGCGCGCAGCATCCCGCTCCCGCCGCTAATCATGAACTGCCGCACATTCATGGAGGAGATCCTGGAAGTGGTCGGCGTGGAGGAAATGAGACACACTTTTGTTCGGCAAGCCCCCGAGAGTCTCGATGGACACGGCGCGGTGGCCGCTAGCAACCCTGCTGATGTTTTTACTATTTTGCGCGAGCGTGAGCGCAGCGAGTCTCCAGCCGCAGACTCAGACGACGCCTCGCTTCACGAGCAGCCTCAACACATCGCCATTCAGGTTTCGGTTCATCCGCAGTTAACATCACCAGGATGCTGTAACATAGAAGCCCCACCCCTTTCTGAAATAGGCTCCACCTCTCCACCCCCATTGGCTCAGCTGCCTCTGGTGGAGGAGTCTGTTGAGCAGGAAAACAAGGAGGAGTCTGTTCAAGAGGGTGGTGCTACAAAGAAAACCCAAGTCATTTATGAAAGCCATGTGTAATATCCTGAAGGAAGGATTATGACCTCGCTATGCATTTGCTTTGGGGCAAGAAAAGGTCAAGGTTTGTGTTTTTGTTCTTTTCAGAAGAAATTGCTTTCTATTTAGTCATCTTAAAACAAGATGAAGAGCTGCGTTTTTGTGTTTGATCTCTCGAAACTCGAATGTTCGGTTCATATTTCACCTTGAAATCAATTGGGGAAAAAATTCGTAGTTGAATTTTTTTTGCTTAAACACAATAAATAAAACCCATAGATTGTTTTTTGCATTGAATTGGGAAATTTTCATTACAATCGTTTAGATTTAACCCTTTTTTTCCCCCAAAAAAAGTTATTGCAAATTTGCAATTTGTAAAATGCAGTTTTTGGTGCTGTATATAGTTAAAGAATTTCTAAAAATATACATTTAAAATGTATTTAAGCATTTATATTCGTTCAGTGCTATCATTTGCAAAAATAAAAATACAAGAAAATCGATGCAGACTTGCATTAGCATTTTGAATTATGAGATGATCGCTAAAAAGTCACAATCCAGATCTATTGCATTGAATTGTGGCATTTTAACAGATGTTTCCCGAAAGTTATAACAATGCATAAAATGTTGTTCCTGTCACTAGGGGTGTAACGGATCACAAATCTCACGGTTCGGATCACATTATGGTTTTGTAGTCACGGATCAGCCATGTTTCGGATCAGCCAAAAAGGGAGGAGACAAATGTCATTTGCATTTCATTTATTACACAAACAAAACTCTGCAAGAAACTTTTGGATTTAACAAACAGAACGGAGAAGCTGTAATTTTATTAAAAATAAAATGAAGAAATAATCGGCTGAATAAAAATAAACAGTACTATATTCAGTACTGTGAGAAATTCACTATTGCTGATAACACTAAATGTAGAAATCTAACATAATTTTAACGACCCAAATTTATTTTTTAGTCTCATTTTCAATAAATGCTTCAGTCATTCACTCATAAGCCTTGGTTTCATTGCTAGATGATCCTTTTTGAAGAATTATTCAGTGACATATTTTTGATGGCTGGTTGTCGCCACCTATTGGTTAAATAATGTAATTGCTGCATACAACTTTAATTTTGAGCGTCAAGTTAAATGCATACGATGGTGATTTTATCAGTGGTTTTATCTTTTATCCAAACCATGAACTTTCATGCCAGTACTTCTGTGTTATTTAACTCTTTATAACTTCCTAATGAACTCAAAAGACTAAAGACTACATCTCTTTCTTGATTTTTGCGTTTTCAGATTTAAATGCCGCGATTCGAAGGATTAATAAACATGCAAATCACCATCATTTATCATTTTTGTTGCATAAGTATTAGGGTTAGGTCGATAGACGATGCCATCATCCATTGCCGATAGACGTCACGATGCTGAGCCGGCACCGCGATCCTCTGCCTCACCCCCTTTTACAAACCTGTTTGCGAAAAATAAACACTTTGGCCACATTTACACTAATACATCTTAGTTTTAAAATGGCATTTTAGAACGAAAACAATCCCCATCCACACTGGCGTTTCATCTAGCATTTCTGAAAAGCCCTCCTTCCACACTTGCTGAAAACGCACATTATACAGTGAAGAAACGGCTAATGAGGTTGATAGCTTGATTCTGTTTTATTATAATAGCTATTAATTTTAATAAGCTGAACTGTTTGCTAATGTATATATTATTTTTCGTTTGTTAATAATAATTTAATATTACTGACAATTTAACTGTTGATTTACAATGAAACAGCTTAAAATGAACATATTTAGTAATTTAGGGTTTTATTTAAAGGGGGGGGGGGGGGGGGGGTGTTGGGGGAATCCCTTATTATGGTGGGCATATCCCTTATTTTCACATCCCAATGTTGACCGGTATGTTTTGGGAGTGTCCAGCGGAGTATCATAACTAAAACCTTAATACATGAAATAAAAGTTTCAAAGGTTTTACTTTTTATTTCATGCTTAAATTGCAAATCCAATGAGATTCACCTCATTTGGTAAACAAAGCAAGTCTCTCATATAACTTATCTACTAAAAGACAGAACACATTACTTAACAAACTGTGTTGTGCATAAAATGATTGATGTGCATTAATTAAAAAAACTGAATACATTTAGAATTACACACATTTACTCAAGTAAATAAACAGAATTAATGATGGGCTAAAAATCTGCAGAATTCTGCACGCGCAGATTCCGTGTGGGCCTGCGAATAACCCACCACAACTTCTGTCATCATTATATATGAAGTCTAAATGCTTTCATACATGAGATTGAATGACATGAGAGGCAATCTCTCTCTATGATCATTACAGATTTAGAATTAATCTACAAGTAAAAAAAAATGTATTAATCCGCAGGTCATGTGTGTTCAGAACTGTGGGTTGATCCGTTACACCCCTACTCATTACTATATTTGTCAAGAAAAAAATATCTAGAAGTTTTGTAATTTCAGTATTCGCCAATGCAGGTGTGCAATAATTATAAACACAAAAATCTGAATCTGGTGGTAAAATAAATGCTGAAGATAATCACAAAGCCAAATTTTAAAATAAAAATGGCATCATTCTTTTTGATTTTGGGGTCAAAAATAACCGTATTTCTTTCTGAGCTTGACTACTTACTACAATGAACACTCATGCTGAATGTATTATGGGCGAAGTTCTCTATTCATTTAGAAAACCCAGTTTTGCCCGTGATTTTTGTTTCGCATAGTTTACGTAAACTAGGGCTACCGAGGGATGCTAAGCTCAGAGCTCACATCTAAAGCTGCGGGCACACTAGAGCTTGTGTGTGCGAAATTCTGTCGTACGGCTCTGCGGGATTAAGCAGGACATAAAAAAACATAAAAAAGCGAGCGATTTGCTCCATGTGTGAAATTTCTGTCCAGAGAGGTCATGCTTTGATCCTCGATTGGTCTCTCGCAGCCATGTGATGCGATTTCGCAGGTCAGAGTTCACCAAGCTTGAACTTTGCACCGCAGCAACTTGACACATGACCCTGCGTTTCCGGTTTGACGCATTCCTGTGCGTATGAATGGAAGTCTATGGGGAGAAAAGTGCAGTGTGACCGCAGCTTAACTCAGCATTATTTTGTATGTAGTGACGGATAATACATTTCACGGATGAATTTGAACGAACGACTGGCTGAAAGAATAAAAATGCATTTTTTTCATTCAATATAAATCAACCGTTCCTGAAATACTTCAGAAGTGATGTGCATAGCAGTTTCCAAACTCTCGCTCCCTCTTCTAATGCATGAAGAATGCATGATGCTGGACTTGAACCTTTAGTTCATGTGTACTTGTCAGATATGTGTTATTTATCATTTAGCAGGTAAACACAGCTTCAACACTTGATTCAATGATAACATGTGTAGAAATTTCAGTTTGAGGCATTTATTCGAGTTCCCACTGGAGTCCTTCTGCTGTTACTGTAATTAATGATGGTGTTAATACTTTACTGGTAGCGCTTGGGCTGCTTTTGATTTCAAACGCACAGCTAGGTTTCTTCCTTATAGCGTGAGCTGTTGCATACGTGTTTGTTTTATATTCAACTCAACTTCAGACTCCCGACATTAGTATTTAATCTCTTTAAGCATCCCAAAGCTTGGACGTTTCCTCAAACCGTTTGCTTCTTACCTCTCGTCTCTTATTTTCACTGTTGTAAATCTTCAATGTGGATCTTGCTTTTCTCTGCATTCAGAGTCCATCAGCACTGGTAATAGTTCGCTAAATGGGTTAAGCACTAGTCAGTAAGAATGTTCCTGGTCAGGATTGTCTGTGGAAGCGATGGCCATGGTGCTCTTCAAAATTGCTGTTTTCTTTCTTTCTTCTTTTTCTTTTTTTAGGTAGTGAAATAAAGCTGCTGTGTATCATGATTTCAAGTGTTTGTGCCTTCATTTAAATTCATAATGCTCATGTTGATGCTTTGTTTGAGGTTCACAAATACTGTTGTACTTATTTCTCCCCCATGGTGTTATGACTTTCACACTAAGTTTGAACACTAATTTCAAAATCTTAATTTCTTTGTATTTGCATACTCACTGGCCACTTTATTAGGTACACCTGTTCAACTGCTTAACTCAAATCTCTAGTCGATTGATTGATTGATTTTAATTGGTTTTATTTGACAATTCTAACAAAAATATACACAGAGTTCTTACGCCTTTTCCAACTTCAAATTCCAGCACTTTTCAAGCACTTTCAAGATGCATTTTTCTGCTTTTTTTAGCACGGTAAATTGCATTTATATATGCCGTATGTACTTCCACATCTAAATCCCTTGTGATACAAAAAAAAAAACACTATAACACTCAACCTAAATTGTTGAATACTTTGGAGCATATATTAATTGGGATAGTTCACCTAAAAATGCTAAAAAGTTGATAAATAAATAAAGTTCAGTTATTGGATGAAGTATCTTTTCAAGTTTGGTCTTTTACCTAAAGCTGATACCTCAAAAAATTAGTTTACAATCAGATTTTGTTTGGGTAAAGTACCAAACTTTCATGAGCAGTCGTTCATTATATTTCATGTGCATTGCTATTCAAAATTCATAACAAATGAAATCCTTATGAGTCTGAGAATATTCTTGCTGCAAATTAATGAACTGTTCCTATGCCAACTGTTTTAAAATAAATCAGTCACCAAATATGGAAACCATAGTTTGCATGCTTTCATCAATATTCCTTTTTATTATTTTTATTTTTTGTTTATTTACAGGCATTGCAGGCTTTGTTTACTGCAGCAAGTTAACGTGTCAACTGTGTTAAACCATTCCGGAGCACTGCGTTTGGTGTTTTAAGGTGCAAATATGCATTCTGCGTGATTGTCTCCTAAATCTGCACATTCGGTAAACACATTTCTAGCCTTGCAATTTCAAATTCAAGAAGGTTCAAGCACAAAATCCAAGCACTTCTCTAACCTTGAAAACACAATATTAAAAATCAAGCATTTTCCAGGGTTTCCAGCACCTGTACGAACCCTGTATACAAAAGTCCAGTTAGACTAGTTCATAAATATTTTTAAAAACTGTCGAGGATAAAATACACAAAAAAAAGCCACAGGCCTATTTCCATTGTGGTCCTCGATATTCTTAAAAAAATAAACAGGCAAATCATACAGTAAATGGAGTGTAAACATCGTCAGCTCAGCAACTCGGCACAACAAAATCCTCAACCAACTGTTAAACAAACACTTTTTAATTCCCCGTCTAAAAACACGCTCAATTTGAATCTCTTTTAAAATCGTGGGCAAAACATTCCAGGCAGCAGAGCTCATACACAAAAAAAAAAAAAAAAAGAGTTTCTACCTGATTCACTCTTAAATCTAAATAATATCCCTGCAACGTGCTCTTGTAGAATGACAGTGTACGTCACTGACTAAAACATAATAATTAAGAAAATATTTTGGAACCATTTTCTTTAAAATCTTAAACACCATCACTAATTTTAAAACATTACTTTGACTATAATGTTCATTATTTAAACGTGTAAGTGGAGGTACTTTCAAAACAATTCTGCACAACTTATTTTGGGCCGTCTGCAGTTTATTTTTATTTTTTTTTGTTTAGAACTATCGCTGTACCAAAAAGCTGCAGCATAGTCAACGTATGGCTTCACTAATGCACTAGCTAAACATTTTTTAAAGTTTGGGTATCTAGGAGCTCTGCCTGTTATGCTAAAAACTTAATTTTAGAACAGTTTTTTTAATGGACTATAACAGACATCTTTTCGTTTGTCAAATTACTGTCTAAAATGCGACTTAAAT